TAATTCTGTTATGTTAAAGCCAAAATTTGGCCGAAAGTAAAATAACTTCGTATTCTTGTATTAATGAAGAATTTAGTTTCAGTGCCGCCAGCTTGGCGAAGAAAGCGTGAAGTAAAATTTTATTTTTATCTTATTCATTTTATGGTAAATTGTAAAAATCATATGTATTAGAATTTTGTAAATATAAGTAAATACTTGAAAAGTAAATCTAGAACATAAAATTTTAGATGCTAAAAGTAAATGCTCGAAAGAAATGAATTCAAATTTAAGTATTAAACTGTAGATAAAAATCATGCTTTAGAGAGCGAAAGCCTGCATGTCTAAAGATGAATGACGGGGAATTTAGAATGAATGTGTTTTGTAGGATTCTCCACCTACACTTGAATTTTAAGAATGTTAAACATAGCTCATCGAGTTTTCAGTATGTCGATTAAGGTGTGTCTATTTGTTGTCGTGAATTTCTAACAAATCATTGTGGTTAAGGGAAGTGTTGTAATACAAAAACACGAATATTCCCGTTTGACACCACACATGGTGGAGAAACAGGGTAAAGTTAAATTCATGTTTGAATACTTGAATGAATGTGAATTAAGCAGTTAATTAAGGAAAATAAAAGGATCGAAAACGAAAACTTTATCCAGTGTTAAGAAAGTGTAAATCATAATGTATTTAGAAGATACTGATACTTATTCCTTCCAGATGCTGGAAGGAAGAGAAAAGATTGATTGCTGAAGACCAGAAAGGATCCTGTAAGAAGATGTGGTAATTTTATGCATCTACAGAAATTATTGTAATTTTTGAGAAAACACAGTTTTTGTTTTATGTAAACGGGGCTCTTGAGTTTTAGATCAGAATGTGGAAACTTTTTCAACAGGTTCGTTTCTAGGACCTGCTTCCAAGTTTTCCAAATTCTGGCAGCGGCAAATGTAGGGTTTATATTTATTTTAACTAACATTTATTTTAATCTATCTTTCCTGTCAAGCCTTTACTTTCCCCAAGAATTGCCAATGACAGAGTATGTAAATCGTAGTAGAACGCGCAGAGTATTCAAATTTTAGCAGAAGTAAGTTGAGTTTAAATAGAAGGGAAACGAGATTGTAAGTGTGCTTCTTGAATCACGAGCGTGAAGGTTGCTTGATAGAAAGTTTAAGAACCGCGCGTTTCGGCCTGTGTGCCTATTTCGACACTTCGTTGAATCTTTCAAATGCTTAATCAGAACGTTTGCTGAATCTCAGCTGTATCTTAGAACGCGGTTAAGCGATTATAGAGCCTCGTAGGTAGTGACTTCGTCATTTATTCATCCTGTCATTTATTTTTACTTGCATTTTTGTCTATTTTGTTCTACCACCGGGTCGGCGTAGTTTGTGAGCGTCAAGTGAACGCAACTTTGATTTCTAAAATGAAATAAAAAGGGAGTTAAACCCTTCTTAAGAGTTTGTGTAATTTCCAGTTCATAGCAGTCACTAGTACTGTTGCTGACAAGTTGGGGGCCTCCCAACATCATAACTTCATTGTGGTTGCGATGCATGTGTTGCTGTTAGTGATAGTTTATTTGAACAGTTCTTATAAATGTTAAACATTATTCCTAATAAATATTCATTATTAAAATCATATTTTGTTCTCCACACTTTTATTTATTGAGTATTTAAATTTTGAAACAGTCATGGATTTATTTTCTGTTTTGTAGCTTTGAAAAATTGAAAAAAAAGGTAAGAAAATGTATCGTTGCTGAAAATTCTGAAATAGCAAATTATATTATTGATTGGTTTGTTGGATTATGTTTATTTGTCTATTAAGATATAATTTATGTCCTTTAAAACTATTCTTTTCCTGCATGCTTATATATTTTTAGCAATATACCATTGCAAGTATCTTACTTACTAATAATCTTTTTAACTAATAAAACTAATTCCATGTACGCATGCATATCTGAGAATTAAAATAATAGTTTAATACTAAATCAAGTTCAGTGACAGAAATATAGGTAGTAAAGATGAATGCTGAAAACAAAGAAAGTAAGTTGAATGGTTGATATATGTAGAAAAACACGCATTCCTAACATTGCTACCAATTATTTCCCAATTTGGCAGAATCTGCATTTAGCCTATACAATTGATATTAATTTTTTTTGAATATTTAGAAATGCAGTGTTTCATAAAATTATAGCAGAGGCAACACTGCAGAACAAAAGTGTGTTGAGTGCCACATATAAAATCTGATATTTATTAATTTTTTTCAGTTTCACTTATAATGCATGATAAAAGTACACAAACATTTTAAAAACATACTTATTGGAGAAAAAATGAGCATAAACCTTTTAATAGGAACATTGTGCAGAATTTTTTTAACACATGTGAGCTTCTTGTTTGAAAAATATGATAATGATAGAAATAGTATTACAAGATATGTGCCTGAAATTTTTCTCATTTTATATTTTAATTGCATCATATAAAATTTTTACTCAAATGCACCTAATTTCAGCTTGCAATAAAAAACTGTCTTTTTTTTTTTTTTTTTATTTCTGATTTATGTATCTGTTGGATTTGCGAAGTCAGAGAATAGAAACTGTCTACTTTTTTTTTTTTTTAATTGAATTGGCAAGGAAATTATTTAAAATTAGGTAAAAAAAATTGGAGCCTAGATTTTGGATAAAACTAAATTGATTTTGAAAGCGAGGAAACACAAATTCCAGTTTGCCTGGAGCAAAGAAATTCAGTTTCTAGTTGTGTTGATATAATTATAAACTGTTATATGAGAGTTGGATATTTATCCACAAGTATGAATGGTGACATGACAAATATCTGTTATTATGCAAGCATCATAAATCCAATAAAACACGCAGATGTTTTAGTAGCAACTATATAAATTTTATTCACAAGTTTGCCCATGATGATGAATGATGTGACATGAGAAAAAAATAGCAAATATATGGAAATGCAGTTGATTGGCATTTTCAAAAACTTATAATCTATTTTTAAGGTCTGGTTACAAAATAACAGATAACTGCTTATATATATATTTTTTTATTCAAATACAGTTCCATTGTGAATTAAATTATTAATCTTACTGTGAGGTTACCATAATCCCAGTTTTATTCTTAATATTCTTTGAAAGAGAAATTTATAGACTAAATTTGCCTATTTTGCTAAGTTTAGCTTAATCAGTGAACTTGACAAAGCAATCGTATCATGTAAAAATAAGATTAAAAATATCTGATACTAGAATATCTTACTGAAGTTTTTTTTCGTGCACTACATTTTCTATATAAGACCAATCTAAAAAATGATCACTATTTATTCTTTCGCTTTCTTATACGGAGAAACATAACTAAGCCATTCATTTGTAGGTACTACTTTGGTAGACGGTTGCACGGATTTTTGGCGATTTACATTGGCGCAATTGTTGGCGCGGTTTTTACAGTCGTCAGCCATCTTGAAAAATGCTGTTTTTACGTATTTCACGCATAGTAAAGTATTCGAAACTTTAAAAAAAATAAATATCGTTAAAAATAATGGATTAATTTTTTGTTGAAAACGTTGTTTTTTTACGATGGCTGGCAAATGTAAATAAAGAGATTTACTAAGTGTATAAAATGCTAAAGTAAGTTTAAATTATTACTTTCATATAATAGAATAAAAACACCGCTATAAAAACATTGCGCCAACATTTAATTGGAATAAAATATTACTTTAATTGAATATTGAATTAAAAACATTAACCAACGTTTAAAAGAATTAAATTTTTCAATTACTTAAATTCAAATCCTTTAAAATATGTTTTATAGGATATAATTATTTAACATTAAAACATATGTGGCAATAAATATCTCAGGAATTTTTGAAAAAAGTGTATTAATTTTTTAATAAAAATTTAAGTATACAATAATAAAGTAAAAGAAAAATATGTACTTACATTTTTTTAAGCATTTTACCTTAAGTATATTGATAAGTACCAGAAAAAAAAACGATTTTCATCTGTTATCCCCATCTCTCGCACTTCATTGAAGAAACAATTAGCGAGGTTTCCTCCAAAAATTTTTAATAAATTTCTCTGAACCTTGTAACAATAAATAAATCTTTGAGTAGGAAAATCCAGGTTGGTCCAAAATAAAGTCTCAAACGGCAATTTTTTATGCCGATACCAATAACTCTTGGTAATTACCAATAACCAACATTTATCTTCGAAACGGAGACATCCATTCGTTTGAAATCTGAGGAATTTGAAGAGATGAATAATAAAATTTTAAAATGGCGCGGAAATGCACAAATATTCAGTAACCAATCAGGGAGCTGATTACATCACGCATAGAATTAAAATTATTTAAATAATCATTCATAATAAAATCATATTTAAAAAATTACAAAATTAAATTGTATTTTAATATTTAATAGCCATAAGTAATGTTTAAAACATTAGATTAAATTTATAGATATTAAAACCAATTACTTTTAAAATAATGTGACATCATTCATTACATCATTCACAACAAAAAATTCCATAAAATATCATAAACAATAAAATTTTTATTTCAAATAAAAATGCAAAATTAAATTCATTTTTATTATTTTGAAGTCATAAATAATATTTAAAACACGGAATTTATGCATAATAAAACGCATTATTTTTTAAATAAAATGACAGCAAAGTATCGGTTACCATAAATAACTTTTCCAGCAATGGGTTTACCATAAGTCGTATCAATCGCCAAAAAAATATCGCCAGAATATCGCCAAAATCCGTGCAACCGTCTACCAAAGTAGCACCCATTTGTATAATGCTCGAAATCGCTCAAACATACATATTCACAGATATCCACAAAGACTTATTTCAGATTTCCGAATCAAAGTTGCGAACCATGTTTACATCGGACGCTCGTTTAATATTACAGAACCTTGATCGAACGAAGTTATTGATGCTGGGCGGAGCTTCGTTGTGACGTCGGCTTACGCATGAAGCGGTGATCACGTGATCTCCCTGCGCGTTCGGAGATTTAGCGCTGACCCTGTTGTCATGAGGAAAAAGAAAGATTAAGTCTGTATTTAACGTCGCGTATGTTTTGTGGAATTACCTGTTAACTAGTGAGAGTTATATGGGGTATGGAAATCATTTGCTCTGTGTTTTATAATATGCTATTTTGATTTGCTGAAAATAAATACGCATTAATGGAACCAAAGCAGATAATTTCTAATGCTGTCCAACCTCGAAATCCTACTGGTAAAATTGGAGGACCAAGTAGCAAACAGGCTGCGGGTGCTGAAGCCGGTGGCCGTTTGAAAGGAGTGCAAGTAGTAAAACCTATAGTGTACGGAAATGTAGCATGGTATCTGGGCAAAAAGAGAGAAGATGACGGTCATACACATCAGTGGACTGTTTACCTGAAACCTTATGATAACGATGATATGTCTGTATATGTAAAGCGAGTACATTTCAAATTACACGAAAGTTACTCGGACCCAAATCGAGTGTTTCATGCTCCTCCATATTCTATCACAGAAACGGGATGGGGTGAGTTTGAAATCGTGATAAAAATATTCTTTCAAGATAGTAACGAAAGACCCGTTACTATCTATCATTTTTTAAAGTTGTTTGACAGAGAAAAAGATGGAAATGTGAAAATGGGAACTGTGCCTGTAAATTCGGAGTCTTACGATGAACTGGTATTCATGGATCCAACTGTGAAAATGCACAGACTTCTGTCACACCCAAAGTTGTGTACATCTAGTTTTCCTCAGCATAAAACCGATTATGAAGAGAAAAAAATTCAAGATTTGCAAAAAATCTTAAATGCTAAGAAGAAAGTTAAACAGGAAATTGCAGAATTGAAAGCTAGACTTGCTGATACAAAAGAAAATATCGCAAAGCTTAAATCGCAAGTTTCAAGTTGATTTTTTAGTCTTATATTAATAGGCATATCGTGTTCCATTATGTAATCTTGTTTTTTAGTTTATGTATTTGCTTTATATTTTATAGTAGTGTTATCAGGACAGTAATTTTCAATTTGTAACATACTTTTATTATGTTTTTGTATCAAATAAATCCATCATATAATTTGACTGGTACAGTATACTATGTATTTCATTCATAGTATATTTTGATATTTTTTCAGGTACATTTCTATGGAGCTTACCCACAGTCATAAATTTATAATAAAACTTGTTCTTAAATGATATATTTTTTCAGCATTAAAAAGTCCTTTGGTTAATTTTTGGTTGACCTTGTATGCCTAGCATTCAGAGCCAGTTGTTTCAGTTTGATGGAATGTGCATATGTGCTCGTTGTAGGATCTGTGTTGAACTGATTTATAATTTTGTGCATATAATTCCAATAGGCTGAATGTGCTTTATAATCGCACTGAAAATTAAAAGATAAAGCTTTGACATACAGTCATTTTTTTGGTTTCATTAATTTGATTCCTACCTCCCACCCCAGTTTGCATTGCAAATGTTTCCTGATTTCCTGACTTTAACTGGATAATGAATATAGGTTTCCATTATTATTTTACAATTGTGTAATTATATTATTGAATATGGATTTATATTAGTACATTTGAATAAGTGATCATTTAATTAGTTATTGTGCTATATATTATGCTAAATTTAAGTATTTTGTTAAAAAATATCAGTGTATTTTAAATAATTTGAAATTGCTACAGATACAACATAATGTTTGATCAATTGGAAACTCAAAGAGACTGTTTATATATATATATATGTGTGTGTGTGTGTGTAATATTTTACTTTTGGTATGAGGTAAAAACAATTCATGTTCTAGTCATATACGAAAATACTGCTGCATAGATTATTGGAAATTGCTATGTAGTGGAATGACCCAAAGGAATTTTGGAAGAAGTACGACCAGCTTGATAGTTAAACATAATATATTTTTGGATGACGAATTTCATAGCACATATCTTCAGAACTGATAGAAGACTGATACTAAATATGCTTCATAAATTTAGATATGCAGTTACATTTTAAATAATGGCGAATAGCTAGTAGAGGCTGAGCAACACACTGTCAGCAGGCAGGCAAAAGAGTTGATAGTGTGGCAGGAGCTAGGAAAAGAATTATGTAATTAACTCACAAATGGTATTTATACCAAAATAAATGCAATTGTTGAGAAAAGCTATGATTGGTTAATTTTAGTTGTAGTTACCTTTTCCAAGCTATGAAATATAACATGGAAATATCTCGAATTTGGGAAAACAGAATTTAGGGGAAGAGCGCCAAATCTAGAATAGTTAATTTTGAGGTAGCCAATTATTTTTAAAGCAGCCATGTATTTTGTTATATCTTACACACAACACACACACACACACATATATATATATATATATATATATATATATATACACAGTGGCTACCAAAAATGTTCGTACACTTATGATTTTCATTGAAATAGGGCTCTATCCATCCATTAATTAAAAGTAAACATTGTGAATGAGATTTTAACAATAAGATCTGTAATCTGTTCCTAACAAAATAACATGAAATATTTTTAAAAAATAGCGAAACTTTATTTTTAAGAAATTAATAATCAAAAAATGACCAACATTTTATCTCACAAAAGTCTTCGTACACTTCAAAAAAATCTTGGCATATTAGTAAATATTTTCATTTTTTGTTAAATTAATATTAGTAGGATATCCTTTAGCATCCACAACAGCTTTTAAATGTCTGGGAATAGATTTTACTAGTTTTTTTTTTTTTTTTTTTTTTTTTTTTTTACTTTCTGTATCAATGTTCATCCATTCTTCCATCCTGACTGTTTTGAGTTCGCTTTTCGTTTTGATGTCTGATGTCGTGTTTTCGTACTTTAACCTCCAATTCTTTCCAAATGTGTTCTATGGGGTTTAAATCTGGCAACTGTGGTGGTATTTTAAAAACCTGTGGCAATTATAGAGACACCGCAGGCAAAAGTTGGGAGTCATATGCTTAGGATCGTTATCATGATTAAAAATACAGTTGTTTCCGATACCCAAATTTTGGGCTGATAATTTTAAATTGTCTCTTAAAACATTTAAATAAAGAGAATGATTCATTACGTCATCAATAAATACCAAATTACCTAGTCCTAATCTTGCCATGCACCCCCCCACACACACACACAAGAACACCTCCGCCATGCTTAACTGTTCCAACTAAGTTCTTAGAATGAAGTTCCTCATTTTTTCTTCCCCATACAGTTATTCTACCATCCGAATCAAAAATGTTAAATTTGCTTTCGTCAGCAAATAGGACATTATTCCAGTACGTTTCGGGTGTATTTATCATTGATTTTGCGAATGAAAGCCTAAGCTTTCTGTTTTTCTCGCTAACAAAAAATTTATTACGAGCAGAAAGGCTATGTAATCCAGCTTCTCCGAGAACTCATCAAACAGTTTCAAGTGAAATTGAAGAAAAAATTTTGCATTAAATTCTGCAGAAACTTTTACAGCACTCAAACGTGGGTTTTTCACAAATTTTCTAATAATAAATCTCTTATCACATTTAGTTAACTTTATCGGTCGAACTTTTCTTACCTTGTTTTCAATCCGATTTTCTTTAAAACATTTTATCACGTACTGCACTGTAGAATGGAGTAAATTAACTAATTTAGCGATATTTCGAATTGATTTACCACTGCTATCGTGAAACATTATCAGTTTTCGAATGCTGTTTGTAATTTCTTTACCATTGCATTTTTCAATAATAAATAGAATATTATGAAGTAAACAATAAAAAATTAAAGCAAACGATTTTTTTAAATGACACCACAATGCAAAAATTTAAAAAAGTGGCGAATGATAATTCTAATTTTGATTTTATCCAAAAATATTTGAGTGTATGAAGACTTTTGCGAGACAAAATGTTTTCATTTTTTCATTATTAATTCCTAAAATTAAAGTTTTGCTATATTTTAAAAACATTTCATGTAATTTTGTTATGAATAGATTATAGAACTTATTATTACAATCTCATTCAGAAAGTTTACTTTTAATTAATGGGTAGAGCCCTATTTCAATGAAAATCATAAGTTTACGAACACTTTTGGGAGCCACTGTATATGCAAAGAAAAGCCTGCTGATGGATTTTATATTAGGATATGCCCTTTTAAATGAAGTAATGCTTTTACAAATTTTGCTACAGGAACATGATTCTAGAAAAATTTTTATCTTTTATGACATTATTGATAAATATTGTATATAAAGTCAAGAAACATGATATGCTGTGCTTCAGTATCTGTGCATGTAATATCTTTGATCTGCAACAGTAAGCTAAGATGTGCAAAAATCTTACTTTTAACTTGTGACATATTATTAAAAATTCCTTCCTGTATTATTATTAAAAAGTATAGTTTTAGTTCATGTATCATGAGTTGATTGCAAAGACTGTATTTAAGAGTTCTCGGGGAACTGTATGGAAAGCGAAATGTGTGCAGCTTGGTGAATGAGGTAAAATTGTTGAAACCGATAAAAGCAAATTTAGTTAGAGAGAGAAAGTACATTCATCACCAGTATGTGAAAATACAAAGAATTTTCGGTAGTATTAAGTAAGAAAATGGAAAATCATTTTTTAAACAACACATAAATGAACTAAACAGATTCTGATAAATATAAACTATTCAACATTATCAGGTTACTGTTATTTTGTATTGCAGAAAGCATTTAAGGATGAATTCCAGACATAATGTTAGTTTTTGATGTCACTGAAGCAAAAAGTTGCAAATTATCTTTCAAAATGTTTTCATAATAAATGCAAAATTAACAGGAAAAACCCTGTTAGGTTTTAACCATAATTATAAAAACTGATTTATAAAATAAAAATGAATATAAAAATAAAATAAATATAAAATAAAATTGTTTTTTGTATGGTAATTATTTTGAAATTTATGTTTATTTCTCGAATAATTATTATAAAGTCATTCTCTCCCCCTATGAAACTCAAGATCTGTACCTTCTGGTAAAAATATATTTACAGGTGTCCATTGGCGATTATTGGCAGTACATGGAACCAAGTTTGTGCAATTCTTTAATTTGTTAGTTTGGCTTTGTGTAGCGGTGATTTTTTGTGCAAAAATCGCCACTACACAAGCCAAAATAACGTCAAAGAATTGCACAAACTCAGTATCCATGTACACATCGACCTATTTTCACTTAAAATAACATCAGAGAATTGCACAAACTTGCCATTGTGCACTCCCTTGACTTTGTCCATGTACACGTCAATCTATTTTCACTTAAAGTCAAAGGAGCAGCCAAGTCTATGCTAGAGTCAAACAAAAAATATATAATCTCAATAAACTACATTTTGAATACCAAACAATGAAATAACAAAAAAAAAAAAAAAAGGAAATTCATATTACAGCATTTAAGCACTACACAAAGGAAATATCCACTTACCTTATTTAGAAATTTCCGTGTCTTCGGTTTGTGGCACACAAAATTCCTTAACAGCATCCAAAAACTTCCTAAAATTATCTGAACTATAATCTGTATACTGGCCCTTTGCATAAATTTGGCCTAATATAAACAAGCCCTTACAAGTCTTTTCCCTTCAGTCTATCATAAATGAAACAACTTATCAATAATCCAAGCGGCACACTTAAGTATACGCTAACCTACCTTTTTTATTTGGTTCAAATGATTGCATACTAAAGCTTTTCCATTATAATATAATTAGGTTATGTTGTTAGCAAAAATCCGTATAAAAATTGTTACATAAACAGAATGGGGTGCTTTTCTGCTAATAGGGTACCAGTCACCTAATATTGAAGCCTATTTATATCATGTCAGAAAAACCTGTAGTTGATGCCAACTTTATGCATTTCTGCAATTTTTTTTAAATGAAAGCTTACTGTGTTTGTCGGGAGAATAACAGTTCTTCCCAGCAATCTGTTTTTTTGCTTTAAAAAATAATGAATTGCACAAATTCAGCATTGCCCTTGTTAAACATTATATATACAGTATAAAATCCGAGACTTGGGCGATTCTAGATTTGGGATTTTACCAGAGATTAGATCATCAGTTTAAATCTAGCAAGATGGCATGTAAAAATTAAAAATATGACATCGTGATTCATGAAGTAATGAAGCATTTATGATCTAAAGGGTGTCAAAATTTACAAAAAAAAAAGGCTTAATATTTATCTGTTTACTTTATTAAACATTTCTTTCAGTGTAAGTTGTTAAAGTTGCTTATATTTTTGTGCTAATACTTTCTCTTCAATTCTATAGACACACATAATTTTGTGTTCAGTTACGAAATTCCATTTTGTTCAAGTGCTGTATCGAAAATTCTGACTATCTTATCAATCGAAATTTTTTCGTTTTCAATAACCTCTCTGTCACTTTCTTCACTATCGATAGCAGTATTTTCTGGATCTAAAACCATACTTTAGTAGATTTTGCTGTCCATTAATTGATTGATGATTATGGCATTGTCATCACAATGAAAAATTTCTGTTATATCATTTTCATTTATAACTGCTTCTCCACATTTCTTTACAAAATCCATTAAATGAAAATTTCACCTTTGATTTGCGATATCCAAAACCCTTCAAATTAGCGACTATAATCTTCATCATCCTCACCATGAAATATAGTAGCTGGCCTTAAATTATGCCAAGCATGGACACATCCTCCCATGATCTTGAGATGCTCCACATAGCAGCTTTTATGCTAAAATGTTTCAAAAATTCTTGAGCAGTCTTGCCATTATTCAAGAAATTTAGCATAGATTTTATAAACATTACTTTATATTTGCATTTCAGCATGTGCACTATTACGATATCCATAGACTGATTGGTGGATGTACAATTTGGATGAAAGAATAATATGGATACATTATCTTTGACTGAAATTTTAAGTGAAATATCAGGCGAACAGTTATCTACAGTCAGGAAAATTTTTGCATCATCAGGTAAATCATGCTGTTTTATTTTCACGATACATGATGGGGAAATTCTTTACTCCTTTAAATGCTCGAGTTTGTATATGTATATTTTTTCCAATTCAAAAAGTTTACACTTATGCATTCCTGCATGCTAAAATTGTTAGTGCCGCTTTGGAATCTTTGACAACAGTTGGAGCCTTTTCTGTAGAGGTTGCCAAGGTATTTCACGGTACAGATTGGCAGAAAAGACCA